GGACCAGTATTACTGGTCGAAACGTCGTATTTTTATTAAATAAAATTATTTGCCAGCATATGTTGTTTCAATTCTGAGTATTTTTTCTTCGATTACTGGCGACTTAACATTTCCATACATTTAATAAATATAAACATCGTCTCACTTAAATCTCTCGCGTGAAATTTTCGCCAGGGCTGTCCAGGGCGCCGTACGACAAATGTGATATCAGGGCTAAAGGCCGAATCGGACTGGCAATTGCCGACCCGGATTGGATTGGGATTGTCGATTAACGATTGTCCCCTAGCGAATGAGAGTCGATTAAATCGCCGATCCCGATCCGATCCGCGTCGACCGTCGTCCGACAACGGCTTTAAGAATATACACTTCGCGCAACGGTTCGCGAGAGCGAGTCTGCTCCGCGCTTGTTCGCGCTAAAAAATTAGAATTTCACACGCGTCAATTCGGTTCTTATGGAAAAAGCATTAACCCCGTTCCTGATATTTGAGAGACGCAAGAGCGAGCGTCGCATTCCCCGAAGAGAATGGAATGTGAGCGCAAATTTACGGTCACCCTATATCTCCTGTAAGTAGTCACGGTATCGCATTCGTCAGACAATGAATCGACGTCGCTCGATTGAGGACATCGCTTCCGTTTCTCTCTCTCTCTCTTCCCTTCCCTCCACCCTCCCCAACTCTCTCTCTCTCCCCCTCTCGCTCGTTCTCTTTCTGTCTCAGCCCCCTCCCCTCCTCTTCCCGTTATCGGCAGGTTTCCAGACATAAGACGTTACATATTCGCGCTCGAATCAGAGGAGCGTAAACGTTCCCGATTAAATTAAATTTGGCTCGAGAATAATCGTGGAACGCGATACAGCACGCTCCCCCGTACGCTACAAATTTAATAATAAATTCTTATTTTCGCGAGTTTAGAATTGAGACGAGTCCGTGGATAAAAGATATACGCGATAGCTCGAACAAAAGGGAGAAGTCAGCCGTGAGAGCGCGTCTTGATTCGACGCTGCGAAAATTTGCCTGCGCTCGTGATACTTAAAATCGCTCTTGAATCTCTCCCGAATGGAAATAATATAAAAATTGCTCGTCCCGTCTCTCATCTAGCGCGGTTTTGTTGTTTCGCCGCGATACAAACGTTCCCTCTGAACGACGTGGCGCGATCCGCGCATTTCTTTGAGCGTCATATTGCACCGTCCGATGCAGTCGGAACCAGTCGGAACCGCCGGCGTAAGGGAGGCAAGGTTACGCTAGCGATTTCAAGTAGGTAGGACCGAGTGCGCGATAACTGATTGCATTTCCAAACTGATTGGTTAAACGGAGTGCGGTGCATGACGTGTTCGCGGCCTTCTCGGAGGTGGAAGGGGGCAAACGATACTTAAAATAGACAATCGTATCGCGTTCCGTCGATAGAAACGCGTGCCTCGCCTGATGCCCGAGGTGTTTCCCCCATCTAATTCCGGTGACGAGGGATCGACTTGAAACGCCAGCGGAGATTACAGGGACGCCCTGAATAAACGCTTATCAAAACGTCCCTCGCGATAC